ACGGTAGTAAAATTGTGGTTGATTTTTTTTTCCCTTTATACGTTGGCCAAATTCTCTAAAATGATCATGTTATGCTAAGAAAAAAGTCATTTTAAAAACTCAGCTATTGTCAGTACAGTAATAAAATCAATAATGATTATAGTATTCTTGGCTTCCATTTATTGAAGAATTACTATGTGCCAAGCATTGCATTGAGTTCTTTGTGTTCAATAAGTATCAGCTGATCCTATGAGGTAGGTAATATATTTCTGTATTGTTAAACTTGACTAAGTGGCATGTAATGACTGTCGAGTGGGCCAGTTCTCTGATCTGCCTGACTCTAAATCCCAAATTGGTAAACTTTTATGATATATTGATTACAGTTGATTTTTAAGTTCTTCCATAACTTCTTAGGAAGAATAAATAACCAATAAATAATACATATACAAGTATCACACACTTAACCAGTTGAACTACTAATATTTATGTTCAAAATTAAGAGACAGTTGTAATAATGAAAAAGTGGAAGCAGCTCAAATGTCCGTCAAGGTTGAATGGGTAAATAAAATGTGGTATATCCATAAAATAGAATATTATTCAGCAATAAAAAGGAATGCCATACTGATACATACTGCAACATGGATCAATCTTGAAAACATTATACTGAGTGAAAAAAGCCAGACACAAAGGCCGCATATTCCATTTATGTGAAATTTCCAGAATAGGCAATCTGTTGAGACAAAGTAGATCAGTGGTTGCCAGGGGACTGGCAGAAGAGGAAATGGAGTCTGACTGCTAATGGCATGGGCTTTCTTTTTAGGGTAATGAAAATATTCTAAACTTAGATCGTGGTGATGTCTATACAACTCTGAATATACTAAAACCATTAAACTGTACACGTTAAATGAGTGAATTTTATGGTATGTGAATTATATCTCAATAGAGAAGTTATGTACACACACACATACACATATGTATATAGAGAAAAATATATGTAAAACTATTAAGAGACAAACTAAGTCTTGTTTTCAGCTCCTGTTTGGGGATAGAGTGTATACAGTTAAAACAATTTTAATAAATTTTGAAATTATGGGGAAAATAATTTTTAAGAACATAGGGTTGGGAGACAAGACCAAAATTTAGGAAAAAGTTTAATGTATAGTCATTTTTTCCTAGTGGAAGATTTTCTGTAACTTTTTTAGTTTTAGAAACACAACATGTATGATTTAGTTGCTTTAAAAATCATAATTCATTTTTTATTTATTTTTTTATTGTACTTCAGGTGAAGGCTTACAGAACAAATAGTTTCTCATGAAACAGAAGTACACATGTTGTTTTATAACATTGGTTAACAACCCCACAACATATCAACCCTCTAAGTTCTCAACATCTTTTTTTTTTTTTGGTGAAAATACGCATAGCCAAAGATACACCATTTCAAAAATTTCTACATGCATAGTTCAG